TGCAGGGGGCAGCCGATCCATGATTCTCTCTCATCATGGATGTTTCTCTCTCTCTCCCTCTCCCTTCCTCTCTGAAATCGCTGAAAAAAAAGGGGGGGTGGGAAGGAAAGGCCTTGCTGGTTTGGCTCAGTGGATACAGCGTCGGCCCTCGGACTGAAGGGTCCCGGGTTCGATTCCGGTTGAGGACTCGTACCTCGGTTCCAGTTTCCCAGGCCCTGGTCAGGGACATGCAGGAGGCAACCAATGGGTGTGTCTCTCTCACATCGATGTTTCTCTCTGTCTCTCCCTCTCCCTTCCACTCTCTCTAAAAATCAATGGGAAAATAGCCTCAGGTGAGGATTAACCGTAAAAAAAAAAAGGCCAAATGGAACCATCCTACATGATAAAAGCCTAATATGCTAAGTGTCTGGTCGTCCAGTTGTCCGTTCAACCAATCAAAATGTAATATGCTAATGATATGCTAAGGAAGCTCAACTGCTTGCTATGATGAGCACTGACCACCAGGGGGCAGACAGTCAACCAGTCACTATGACATGCACTGAGCACCAGCGGGCAGAAGGTCAATGCAAGAGCTGCCCCCTGGTGATCAGTGCACTCCCCAAGGGGGAGCACCACTCAGCCAGAAGCCGGGCTCAGGGCTGGTGATCACAGCGGCGGTGGCGGGAGCCTCTCCCGCCTCTGTGGCAGTCGCACATCCCCCGAGGGCTCCTGGACTGCGAGAGCGTGCAGAACGGACTGAGGGACTCCCTACCCCGCCCCAAGTACATGAATTTCGTGTACCGGGCCTCTAGTCTATAATAATAAAAGTCTATAATATGCTAATTAGACCGAACGTCCATCCGGGCGGCATTGCAGACGAAGCCGGGCCAGAGCAAAGCCTGGGTCCCGGGTGCCTGGGGGTGGCAGCCGGAGGGAAGCAGCCCAGGTTCCAGGTGCCAGAGGGAAGCCAGTGCCGGCAGCCGGGGGAAGGAAGGAAGGCCTACTCTTGCATGAATTTTTGTGCATCAGGCCTCTAGTTCCTAATAAGCTGAATGTGTAGGGGGGAGTGTGGGGGGGAAGCTAGGTGGTGCTGCAGCCCACGGCGGAGGGGCTGCGGAGGCGAGAAAATAGCCTCAGGTGAGGATTAACAACAACAACAAAAAAGGCCAAATGGAACCATCTATAATAATAAAAGGGTAATATGCTAATTAGACCGAACGCCCATCCGGGCGTCATTCCGGACGTCCTTCTGGGTGAAGCCAGGGCCGGAGTGAAGCCCAGGTCCCGGGAGCCGGAGGGAAGCTGGTACCAGCAGCTGGGGGAAGGAAGGAAGGCCTACCTAGGTGGTGCTGCAGCCCACGGCGGAGGGGCTGCGGAGGCAGGGAGAGGACAGAGGCAGGCAGAGTGCTGGCGGCTCCACTAACAAACAGTTTCCACTCACCCCCGTCTCTGACCTAGGACAGCCAGGAACCCACCACAGCCCTTCGGCTGCTCGGAACATGGCGGGCGACCAGCAGCCGCAGGCCACTGAGGGAGTGAGCGAGGGAAGGGGAGGCAGGGAGGCAGGGAGGCAGGGAGGCGGGGAACCTGATTGGCCCTGATCGCCCGCCAGGCCTAGGGACCCCACCTGTGCACGAATTTCATGCACCGGGCCTCTAGCTTAGAATTAATGTTAAACATTGAGGTTTCTCTTCATGGAAGTCAGAGTTCTCCTGGAGTGTCCCCCGCAGGTGCGGGGTCTCCAGGCGTCTGCGGTGTGGCCACGGCAAAGCTCCCTCCACCTCCCTCCTCCCTGTGGCCAGGGGATGCCGCCCACTCAGTAATGGTGGGTGCGTTTTGCCAGAAAACTCACATATTTGTTGGGAGGCCAGAGGGATTTTTAAAAAATATATATATTTTTTATTGATTTCAGAGAAAAAGGGAGAGAGAGAGAGACAGAGAAACATCAATGATGAGAGAGAATCACGGATCGGCTGCCTCCTGCACTGCCCCACACTGGGGATGGAGCCCACAACCCGGGCATGTACCCTTGGCTGGAATCGAACCCGGGACCCTTCAGTCCGCAGGCTGACGCTCTATCCAGTGAGCAACACCAGCCAGGGCTGGACAATCAGGTGTTTAAAGACGGTCAGGGTGCCTCCTGGCCACAGACCACGTGCCCTCCCATGGCGAGCGACCACACTTACCTCGTACGGGACACTGGATGGTCACGTTCGCCCCCAGGGCCGCCCTCACGGTGCCTCCGACCACGACGGTCAGCGGGCCGGGCTCCCGTCCGGTGACATTCCTTCCCCTGACCAAGATGACGGGCGCCTCTTCATTCCAAGGGAACAGGAAACCATGTTAGTTCAGGCTTTTTTTTTTTTTTAATATATTTTGATTGATTTCAGAGAAGGGAGAGAGAGAGAAACATCCATGATGAGAGAGAATCATGGATCGGCTGCCTCCTGCATGCCCTCTACTGGTGATCAAGCCTGCAACCTGGACCTGTGCCCTGACCGTGAATCAAACCCTGACCTCCTGGTTCCTGGGTCGACGCTCAACCACTGAGCCACGCCGGCCGGGCTGGGTTCGGGCTCTGGCTCTTGGGTAAAACATGTGCATTGGGCCCACTGTGCCGTGCTCTCTGAGAGCCGGGGACAGGTCCCTGCTGGCTCCGTACCCTCATGGCAGGGAAACACACAGCTGGCGGGAGGGGGGCGGGGCTCAGCGGACAGACGGACGGACGGATGGACAGATGGGTGGACACAGCCAAAGAGATATCGAGAAGGCTGCACGGCCACAGCCATCGATGGACCCTGGGAGCATTGGGGTGGTATAACCAAGTCCCTCTTGGGTACATTTGATGAAGGAAGGAATTCAGCAGAGAAGGCCTGCTCAGGATAACGTGTCTGTGGGCGAGTAGGACCAGCACCAGGCCCCGGCTCATGGCTCAGTGGATAGAGCGTCGGCCTGTGGACCAAAGGGTCCCGGGTTCGATTCCAGTCGAGAGCACATGCCCGGGTTGCAGGCTCGATCCCTGGTAGGGGGTGTGCAGGAGGCAGCCGATCCATGATTCTCTCTCATCACTGATGTTTCTCTCTTTCCCTCTCCCCCTCTCCCTTCCTCTCTGAATAATCAATAAGAATATATTTTAAAAAATAATAATAAAAAGTAAAAAAATAAAGGTGACCCCACACATGCCCTTGAGTCATTCAGCTGCTTAGAGCATCGTCCCCATACACCAAGGTTGCGGGTTCGCTCCCCCGTCAGGGCACATACAAGAATTAACCAATGAACGCATTGATAAGTGGAACAACACATCGAAGTTTCTCTCTCTCAAACCAATAAATAAATTATTACTTTTTAAAAAGTATGACCAGCCCGGCTGGTGTGGCTCAGTGGCATGCTGGTGTGAGCATCAACTTATGAACCAGGAGGTCAGGGTTCAATTCCTGGTCAAGGGCACATGCCCGGGTTGTGGGCTTGATGCCCAGTAGGGGGCGTGCAGGAGGCAGCCGATCCATGATTCCCTCTCATCATTGACATTTCTAAGTCTCTCCCTCTCTCTTCCTCTCTGAAATCAATAAAAAAATATTAAAAAAAAAGACATGTAGTCTTTTGCAATCGGAATGGTCTATGAGTTGAATAATGCAAATTCTTGCCCGGCCGGCGGGGCTCAGGGGTTGAGGGTCGACCTATGAACCAGGAGGTCAGGGCACATGCCTGGGTTGCGGGCTCGATCCCCAGTGGGGGGCATGCAGGAGGCAGCCGATCCGTGATTCTCTCTCACCATTGATGTTTCTCTCTCTCTCCCTTCCTCTCTCGGAAATCAATACAAACATATATATTTAAAAAGTGCAAATTCTCAGATGCCATCCCAGACCTCCAGGGTGAGGACCTCTGGGAATGGGGTGTAGAAATCTGTGCTTTAACCCCCTCCCAACAGGTGAGTCTGCTGCTCACAGGAAACCCTGCTCCAGAGGTTTGTGCAAACCCCAGGCCCGGCCCGCGTGGCTCGGTGGTTGAGCTTCAACCTAGGAACCGGGAGGTCAGGGTTCGATTCCCGGTCAGGGCACAGGCCCGGGTTGTGGGCTCCATCCCCAGTGTGGGGCGAGCAGGAGGCAGCCGATCCATGATTCTCATCATGGATGTTTCTCTCTCTCCCTCTCCCTTCCTCTCTGACGTCCATAAAACTATATTAAAACAAACAAACAAACAAAAACCCAGCCCCAGGCGACCCAGGCGTCACCGCCGGGCATTACCTGCAAACAGCACGGGCGAGCTCGCCACGTCGGAGCCGAGCCGGTTGGCCACGGAGCAGCCGTACAGCCCCTGCTCGCTCCTCGTGGGGTTCCGTATCTGCAGCACCCCCGCTCCGGACAGAACGATCCTGGGGGACAGAGAGAAGGGGGAGGGAGTCACGTGACCCGTCGCAGGGCCCTGGGACCACAGCCAGCCTCACAGAGAGAAGAGACAGCATCACCGCAGACACCGGCGGGCAAGGATCCCCAAAGATGACCCCGTCGAGCCTCCTGCCAACAGGCAGAGGGTGGCACAGGCCAGAGAGGGCGGACAAGACCTTCCTCGCGGCTGAAACGCGTGGAAATGGCAGGCAGCGCTGCATCAATGTTTCTCTCCCTCTCCCCCTCCCTTTCTCTCTGAGCTTCCCCATCCCATCTCCTACCTCACTCGCCAGGAGACGAAGATTTTCAGGATGAACTCGATGCTGCAAATGCTACGCTTTTAAAAAAGACAGACCAACCGGCCGGGTGGCTCAGTGGGTAGAGCGTCGGCCCGCGGACAGAAGGATCCCGGGTTCGGTTCGGGTCAAGGGCACGGACCTCGGTAGCAGGCTCCTCCCTGGCCCAGGCCCTGGTCAGGGCACGTGCAGGAGGAAACCCATCGATGTGTCTCTCTCACATCGATGTTTCTCTCTGTCTCTCCCTCTCCCTTCCACACTCTCTAAAAATCAATGGGAAAATATCCTCGGGGGAGGATTAACAAAATATATATGTATGTGTGTATATACGTGTGTATGTGTGTGTATTTATTGATTGATTTATTGATTGATTGAAAAACATCAATGCTGAGAGTGAATCATGGACCGGCTGCCTCCTGCACGCCCCACACTGGGGATCGAGCCCGCAACCCGGGCCTGTGCCCTGACGGGGAATCGAACCCTGACCTCCTGGTTCCTAGGTCGACGCTCAACCACTGAGCCACGCCGGCCGGCCTATTCCTTCTTTTTCTAACTAACATCTCTGCATGAGGCCAAGTTTTCTCCAGGATCTTCAATTCCAACAACATATCCCAACAGGTTGGATGCACAAGAGCTTGGGAGAATACAGATGTATTTTATTAATCTAGACATGAATTTGCAAGATGTGAAATGATGCCATTGTTACTAGTAAATTTTTGGAAAATATATCTTTTAAAAAAATGATGTTATTTATGCGAACATGTCATGGGCTGATTACTGTTATTTCTAAATGCATTAATCAACAGATGTTTTAAATGCTTCTTGTTTTTGTTTGTTTTTTTATTTTTCTTACTGTTGTTGTTAATCCTCACACAAGGATATTTTTCCATTGATTTTTAGAGAGAGTGGAAGGGAGAGGGAGAGACACAGAGAGAAACATTGATGTGAGGGAGACACATCGATTGGTTGCCTCCCACGCACGTCCTAACCAGGACTGGGGATCAAGCCTGCAACCAAGTTACGTGCCCTTGACCGGAATCGAACCCAGGTCCCTTCAGTCTGCAGGCCGACGCTCTATCCACTGAGCCACACCGACCAGGGCTAAATGTTTCTTGGTTTTAATTTCTAATATGGTAATCAGCAATAGATATAATTCAAATTCACAAAACACTTTGGGCTCATTAATTACTAAAAGATTTGAGAACTGCTAAGCTAGCTGACCTGGGAGGTTTATTCCACTTCAAAAATGTCATTTCACGCCAGAGCAAAAAAAATTATTTTTTAATACGCTTTTATTGATTTTAGAGAGGGAGAAGAGAGAGAGATAGAAACACCAATGATGAGAGAGAATCATTGATTGGCTGCCTCCTTTACGCCCGCTACTGGGGATGGAGCCCGCAATCTGTGCATGTGCCTTGACCAGGAATTGAACCAGCGACCTCTTGGTTCATGGCTTAATACTCAACCACTGAGCTACACAGGCCGGGATTCAATGCAAATTTTAAAAAAGCGAAATGTCTACCGTCTTTCTTTTAATTAAACATGTTTATCTTTTCCTTTTAAGACATAGCTTAGTATCCTATATAATAAAAGCCTAATATGCTAAGTGTCCAGTCGTCTGGTCAGCCATTCAACCAATCAAAGCATAATATGCTAATGATATGCTAAGGCCACGCAACCGCTCGCTATGACGTGCACTGACCACCAGGGGGCAGACGCTCCACCCGGTAGGTGAGCTTGCTGCTGGGGTCTGGCGGATCGGGACTGAGTGAGACGGGCCGGACACGCCCTGGAGCCCTTCTGCGGTCCCTCCCCGGATGGCCAACCTCTCGCGTCCCTCCCTGGCCCCGATCATGCACCAGTGGGGTCCCTCAGCCTGGCCTGTGCCCTCTCGAAATCTGGGCTGAGGGAGCGCCCCGCCCCCACCCTGAGTGCATGAATTTCATGCACTGGGCCTCTAGTGTTATTATAAAAAACTGAATTTTCTCTTGTTTTCCTGTGATGGATCACATATGAGACTCCATGCACAAAAGACGTGATAAATAAAACGTGTGATTTTAACGTGCCTCAAGGTCTGCAAAACAATTTAACGTCTGCTGTCTTGTTTGTGTCTCTTTACCAGTCCCCAGAGAAAGATCAGGTGTCGCTTGAGTTCTTGAATGCAAATGTTCCTTTTTAAAACATGTTTTTAGAGAGAGAGGAAGCGAGAGAGAAACATCGATGGCTGCCTCTTGCACGCCCCCTACTGGGGATCGAGCCTGCAACCTGGGTATGTGCCCTGACCGGGAATGGAACCAGCAACCTCTTGGTTCATGGGTTGATACTCAACCACTGAGCCATACAGGCCGGGATTCAATGCAAATTTTTAAAAAAGTGAAATGTCTACCATCTTAAGTGTGCAAATAGCAAGATTTAGAGACAGTAAAGGGTGCAGAAGGAATGAATATTCTTGCTACTCCCTGTTGTTTTATGGAAAGTGAATGAACTGTGATACCGTTGCACTCACAGATCACAATCCTATATAGTAAAAGCCTAATATGCTAAGTGTCCGACCGTTCGTTCGACCGTTCAACCAGTCACTATGATGTGCACCGACCACCAGATGCTCCAACTGGTAGGTTAGTTTGCTGCTGGGGTCTGGCGCTGGACTCACCCTGGAGCCGACCTCCCACGATCCCTCCTCAGCCAGCCAATCTCCCGTGGTCCCTCCCCAGCCTCTAAAATATTTCTTCTAATTAATTTCCTTTCAATGTGCACGAATCCATGCACCGGGCCTCTAGTACAAAAGAACATGACTTAATGTTTTGTTTTGAACGGCTCAAGAAAACTTTGGACCGCATTATCTCCTAGTTTTGGGTTTTATGATGTAAAAAAACTGCACGATATAGAAATGATTTCAGAGGCCCAATCTTCCTGCCAAGGCCATTTATTTCTGTGACTAGAGGCCCGGTGCACGAATTCGTGCATGGGTGGGGTCTGGCCGGCCCGCCCTGATTGGGCGATTGGGGCGGGCCTGCTGGTGTAGGGGACATGGGTGGTTGGCCGGCCAGGTTAGGGGGTGGCTGATCAGGAGCATGGTCATCTGGGAGGAGGGCCTGCAGGAAGTTGGTGGGCTGGCCCCGCCCCCTGGTCAAACTCCAGTCAAACTCCCGGGTGAGGGGACCATTTGCATATTACCCTTTTATTATATAGGACTAGAGGCCTGGTGCACAAAATTCATGCATGGGGGTGGTCCCTCAGCCTGGCCTGCACCCTCTTCAATCCAGGACCCCTCAGGGGATGTCTGACCTAAGGATCGGGCCTAAACTGGCAATCGGACATCCCTCTTGCAATCCAGGGCTGCTGGCTCCTAAACACTCACCTGCCTGCCTGCCTGATGCCCCTAACTGCACCCCTGCCTGCCTGATCACCCCTAAACACATCTGCCTGCCGGCCTGGTCGCCCCTAACTGCCCTCCCCTGCTGGCCTGAAATCAGTAAAAATATATTTTAAAACAACCAACAAGCCCTACCTAGTTTGGCTCAGTGGATAGAGCGTCAGCCTTCGGACTGAAGGGTCCTGGGTTCGATTCCGGTCAAAGGCACATGCCCGAGTTGTGGGTTCGATCCCCAGTGTGGGGCGTGCAGGGGGCAGCCGATCCGTGATTCTCTCTCATCATGGATGTTTCTCTCTCTCTCCCTCTCCCTTCCTCTCTGACATCAATAAAAATATATTTAAAAACACACACACACAGAAAGCACACAGGCCTCGCGAAAGGAAGCAACGGGTCCCCCCACTCACTTTTCCGACGGCTGCAGCGGCACCCCGTCCTTGGTCCATGCGTAGGTGACCTCGCCGGGGCCGACCAGCTGGCACAGCAGGTGGACGGCCACCGTCTGGTTGGTGACGTATACCGTGCTCCCGATCGTGGCATGGACAGTCGCATTGAATGACACCGACGCGGGCTGCTGCCGCCTCACCAGCTGCGGGCCCTTCGGCGGGAAC